GAGACAGACCATTATAGATTTCAGATCTTGGAAAGGTAGAAGTGGTTTTGCAGGAGGTAAAGGTTGGTTTTCTTCGGGATGGAAGTTTCTATTTGGGTTTTGGTTGTCTTGGGATAGCTGTCTTATACGCAAAATCTTCGGTTGCATTCCTCATATCGTTTGTTTAATTGGGTTCTAGTAAAGAGCAATTTCGAGGATGAAATCTAATTTAAGTGGGGGAGAATTGTAACACCTGGTTTTGGATTTGCCTTGTTGCTCGGGGATGCGGCCCAATCATCAATTGTCATAAGGTTTAGGGCCTTGGGAAATGAAGGATTTGGCCCAATTCGGATGTGGGTGTCATAGTATAAGTGATCCAAGTGTTTGCTTGTGTCTTCGGAGGCCAAGGGTATAATCGTAATTAGATATCTCCATCTTTTATGGATTTTGGGTTTTGTTTGGGAGGTTTTAAGGTTTGGGTGTGTTGTTAGGAGCGTAGGGCTTCTCGTCGCCTCTTTGTAGATATAAGGTTCGTTGGAAACGGACTTGGGATGAGGGAGTTATGGTATTTTGATGTTATTAGCAGAATTGGCCCTTGATAGAAAAGCTTGCATTATGGTCCAATGCATGTAACGATTCCATGCGGGTGTTTGGCTGGGTACACCCAGCGTAAAAGGATAAGTGATTACGGGTGGTTTGTGAGTACATCGGGCGTATTAAGGGGTTCACGAGGTGTACTCCCTTTAGAGAAAAACCCTAGATTTGGGGTTCCTACCTTATATAAGCAACATTATACCACCCCTTTGGTCATTTTAGGTCAACTACCACCCCTTTTGACATGCATAAAACCCTAGAGTGTCTTGGGTGAAGCTTTGAGCTTGAAAGAAGGTTCTTAGTGGTTTGTGTAAGAGGAGAAGAAGGTGAAAGACTCAACCTATGGAGAAGAGCCTAGAGATCCAATGTTAGCATCTTCATTTCGAGACTTTAGAGGTATGAAGTCTCTATCTTGGCTATTAATTGTATAGATCTACTTTGGGTTGGTTTATGCCCATTTTAGTCCGCTTTGTTTGGTATTCGTGAGCTGGGGTTTTTTTAGGAGCTAAATCTAGTAGATATGAAAATTTTAAGGGTCCCTAAGTCATAAAGGTGCGAGCTTTATGGAGTTTTTGAGTTCATGCATGAATTAAGACCATCCATTAAGCTCTTTTGAGCTCTAGAGCCCCAATAAGCCATGCATGCTAGTAAAGTTGCCAACTTTACTTGAAAAGTCATCTATAGGAATAAGACTGGAGAGTTTGGAGCAAGGGCTAAGGTGATTAAGTGCTTAATAGAGGAGTTTGGGGTCCAGGGGAGTACATTGGACGTACCCACCTGGTACGTGGTGCGTACCAGCCCCAAAGGGTGTATGTTGTGCGTACTAGATGAGTATGCAGGGCGTACTCGACCTGGTTAACCCTTCTTGTTTTACTGAATTTTTAGGCTTTGGACCATCGAATAGGAGTGGGTTACGGTTGTACATTTAGTATTTCAGGCCTTTTGGATATTGGGCCTTCTCGGGATAGGTCCATGATGGATTTGGGCCTAATTAGGGTAATTGGGCCTTATCGGGTCTTGTGGTGTCATTTCAGGTTTGGATTATTGTTTGGGCTTGTATTGTTTGAGGTTTTGTTGGGCTAGCTATGAATATATGTTTTGGTTCAGAAAAAGTAAATGGGCTTTAGGGAAATGCCCATGTAAGGGTTTGGGCCCAATTTGGAAAATTGGGTCATTAGTGGGCTTTTATGGATCTTGTGGTTTTGGGCTTAAGCCTTACTTGTGAGTCTTGTTGGGCCAGGGGTAAAATGGTCATTTTACTCCATGTATGGATTATGGAGCATAGTTTGGAACTAAATTTCTAATTGGGTGTTATTTTGGTATTGATAGCCGCAGGTGTCGTCAGGGCAGCCACTAGAGATTTCTTTCATTAGTTTCTACATTCGAGGTGAGTCTCCTCATTGTTCTATGGGTCGAAGGCACCAATGCTGGCCCATTTGGTTTATGTGATGTAGGAAGACCCGGGGTGACCTTTGGCATTTGTAAGAAAGACTAGGAGCGGCTCCTGGCAATATGTATGCACGACCAAAGTCTAGACTTTGGCAGTTAATTAGTTAGAAATGGTAGATTCTATGGTAGTTGTCTTTGTGATGCTTGCATGGAAGACTAGGAGGTGGCTCGTGGCACTTATCTGTAAGACCCAACGTTTTGGCCCCCGGCCTGGCAAGAACAACCACGATGCGGCTCGTGGGATAATGGCAAGACTATAGATAACACATAACACTTTTATTGATTGTGATATATGTATGATATCTATGGCTAAATGTTATGAATATTATTTATGGGTCGATTGGTATGTGTAGTATGTGGTATTTGGGGAACTCACTAAGCTTTGTGCTTACAGTTTCTGGTTTATGATTTTGGGCACTTCAGGTTCGATAGGGAAGTGCCTGGCTTGATAGTAATGCATACACCTGTGTTTTCCGCAATATTTGTTTTGGGAATGAACTCTAATAAATGTTTTGTATTGAAATGTTTGGAAAGGATTACTCCAGTGTTTTGAATTTAATAAAAATGGATTTTTACCCTTGATTTTTGGGATGTTACAACTTGTTATACTTGTATGTTTGTATGCTGGGTGGAGCTCGTTGTGAGAGTTAGGGCGAGGCCCGTTATACTCAGTGGACAAGGCCCGTTATACTTTGTCGGCGGGGCGCGCTACACTCACCGGGCGGGGCCTATTACATGTTTGATATGTGTGGTATGTGGTATTTAGAGGAGACTCACTAAACTTTGTGCTTATGGTTTTTAGTTTATGTTTTAGATACTTCTAGTGCAAAAGGGAAGAGCTTGGGGTAATTGCAGTGCACACATGATATAGTTCTGCATTTTCATGATAACTCTGATAATTTATGATGTTTTGATACATTTGATCCTTTTGAAAGTTATGATGATGTTTTGGGATAATGTTTTTATTAAATAAAAAAGGAAATTTTTGGGACGTTACAACATTTGGGAAGTACCTTAGAGAACACGCAAGCAGGAAGAAATGGGTGTGTAAAAATCGGTACAACAGTGAAGCGACAACAGGAGAATGAGATGTTAATGCAACGATGGATTAGCAATGGGTAGTAATAGATTATCGAAGGGTAGCAACATATTAGCAAAGAAACGGTGACATAGTAGTATTAAACTTTCAGATGCCTTTTAGACATGGTCATGTGCGATCGCACATCGACACCTCCTCATGGTCGGCCCTGGCTGTTTCCTTAGGTATAATTTGATGAATTATAGTTCTAAAAAGTAATATATTGTTACTAAATGTAGCAAATGCTTTGAATATCTTTCTTTAGTATCTACTTTAACTGAGATTGTGCCAATTAATTTCTCTTCTTCAGAGAATTTTACTTACCCATTTTTTGGTTCACCTACTTTTTTGTGTTGCTAAAATCAATGAGGCATATATGGTCGTTAACCTTGTTTTTCATGAGCACATCAATCAAGGTTGTCAAGATCGGGATCCTACCTAGGATCGATTTTGGGTTTGCAAGATCGGGATCGTAAGATCGGGATCGAGATCTTAAGATCCCACAAAATAGAATATAATTTTAATTTATAATATTTAATCATGAAAACTATTTCAAACATTTAGTTTTTCATTCAAAAGTTATAAAAACTTCAAAATATTAGTCATAAGTCACAATAAAAAATGATAAATGGTAGATTGGTAAAGGATAAAAGGCATAAAGTGGTAAAAAAAATTTCATTTGCAAAAAAAAATAAATAAATAAATAAAATAAAATAAAATAAAAATAAAAATAAAGGAAGGTAGGATCGGATCGGATCTCGATCCTACGATCCTACCTACGATCTTACGATCTTACCTGCGATCCTACCCCAAATACGATCCTTTTACGATCTGGATCGTTTTTCATACCTAGGATCGTAGGATCGTAGGATCGTACGATCCTACGATCAGGATCGCGATTTTGACAACTATGACATCAATCATATTAAGATTGAAATTCACTTCATCTAAGACATGGTTATGTCGGGGCCTCATAATGTGCGATGTGTTCATATCTAAGGCATGGTTATGTCGGGGCCTCATAATGTGCGATGTGTTCATACTAAGACTCAACTTGCCAATATATTGACAAAGGGGATGCTACGATGATACAACCAACCCATCATACACTTTGCCACAAAAGCGTAATTGCTTAACCATTTTACTTTTCTTTTAATGTAAACATAAGTTATCATAAAACAAATTTAACTCTCTTTCCCATTTCTTCATTCTAGACCGAGATTAGACTTATTACTAAACATTGCTCGTTCTATAAATTAAACGAATATTTATAACACCACTAAAATACCTAATAATGACCATTTAATATGAAACACTCTAAAAATGAACTATTCTTTCAAAGAGCACATTCCCATCATCCTATTATCTAGTGGCTTTTTATGTGTGGTACTTTTTTATACTCTTGATCTCAAAAGCAAACAATTTTCCATAAACCTAAAAGATGGTTCTTAGTCGTGTTAACGGTTTTCAACCTCACTAAAGGCTTAGAGAAACCATGATAGGTTTGAATCGCATTAGCTTCAATTTCGGATGGACCAATGTTAAGAAAAATATAATAATTTGAACAAGATTATCTTTACCTTTGAGTAGATATTTGTAAAAGATAATTGAGCCGTTGATAACAAAACACCCAAAGGATAATTAGAAAATTAAGTAACAAGCATTTGGTGTAAGAAAGTCAAAGTAATAAGGATGTATACATATCAATATATCATCATCATTAATATGGTAAAGGTATGCTGTCGACAAATTACACTTCATTTCATGGAACCTACCACCTTTCTCATTCTCCCCCTTTAAATACACAAAAAAACACCCTGTAATTTCAATTTCACACCAATCTTGCTTTCGCCACCATTATATCATACATCCATTCAATTTCCAGTTCTCCACCACCACCATGACTTCCATGTTACAGAGGGAGAGATCGCTCCCTGTTTCTCACAATCCCTCTTCAAACGATCCATCTTCGGTGGTTGCCGGCATGCGCCGGAGACTCTCCTCCATGTCCTTACGGATCCAGCCCTCTTCCATTTCCGACACCACCTCCGCCGCAACCGCATGGGCGATGCGCCGCTCCAAATCCGTTTCCTCAATGGGGGAATCCGCGTCTACCTCAGTCAGGAACTGGTGGGATTGGGGATGGGGATGGATCCTGTCGAGGAAACCCGTATTCGCACAGGATCTGGAGTTTAATCAAGAGGAAACCTCCGTTCTCAGATCCCATGATAAAGGAAGCTGGAGACACGTCTTCTTCAAGGTTAGATCCGAGATCCGGAGAATTGTCAGATCTGATAATGTCGGCCTCCCTCAGACAGTTCGTTACAACTCCTACAGCTACGCTCGCAATTTCGACGATGGCAGCAATAAATTCCGAGGCTGAAATTGGTCTCTGAGCTGAGCTACTACCCAAGTTCAAAGATCATACAGTTACTCCGATTATGTTGTTGTATCAAATTCATTTTTTCTGTTTAGATCATAGACAAGGTAAGATAAGGAAAAGAATGATGATTTCGGCGATGGTTGTACTCCGGCGGAAGGGAAAGAATGATTATGTCAATTCCGGTGGTGTTCTCCGATGTGGGTGGATGTCGGTGGGAAGAGAAATGCAAAGTAAAGTGGGCGGGTTGTAATTTAATTTGTAAAATTTGTTGATTTTAATTTTCAATTATTGTTAATTTGTTATATATCAAACTATTTGTTGTATTATTTCATTTTTTTTTTCTTCTTTAGCTTAATTATTGAAATATATAATAATTGAGTTGCGAGACTTTAAGAGAAACTACAACTATTTGTTTATACATATTAAAAGTCTTTTTTATAATTATTACAATAAATTTGATTTGACTTTACAGGTTTTCTATTATATGTTTATTCAAATATCTAACATATATAATAAATAACAAATGGTAATACTAAACTTTTAGCAATTATAATATTGTTGTAAAACATGATCAACGGAATAGTTGCAAATTAAATCCAATAAATAAAACTTATCATACAAGAAGACAATTCATAGTGGTAACATTTTTAACCATTCAAGATTTAATTTACCGCTAAATTGTATAATTTAAGATCAAGCTACAAAAATATACAAAATAATTACATATGAATAGTTAGAATTGAATTTTGTAATCTAGAATTAATAAACCTAACTAACCCTAATTTTATTATTTTGGTAAACAAACTAATTAAATGAAAATCGAAATTATTTTATAAAAAATGGTATAAGTTTGGTATTTACACAAAAGCATTACGAAAATTCCATAAAAACTACAAAGATAAAAAAAATCGGTTAACGTCACTAAGACCATAAAAACTTTCATGTTTTGGGTTAAAATGTCATTTAAATTATTATTTTTGCTTCTAAGTGCTTAAACTCAGTTTTTATGGGTTAAAATGATCATTCATTGAATAAGTGAAGGGGTAATCTGGTTACCATTGCCTAGTCAGATAAGCACACGACATTAACCCTCATATTACCAATGCTTGTGTAGTACTTTTGTTGGATTTTCAAAATTCAGAAATATAATCGGTCTCCTAGATTTATTCATCACTAGAACTCAAAAATTCAGCTGTGTTCCCCACGATTCTAGAAAAATCTAATAAACTACGTCCAAAAACAAGAAACTGAGAAACAAGCTCAACAACAATTTTGTGAAAAATATGTTCTTCCCATATCTTCAATTTTAGAAAAGAATTTGTTCATCATCCACCATTTCAGGAAAAACGATGTATGTCCTGTATAATCAGTCTCCTAGGTTTGTTCATACCAAAACTCAAGAACTTAGCTGTGTTCCCCACGATTTTGGGAAAATCGGATGAACCACATCCATAAACAAGAAAGTGAAAAACATGCTCATCATCGATTTTTGAATATGTGTTCTCTCTATATCTTCGATTTCAAAGAAATATTTATTCATTATCCACGTTTTTGTTTACCATCCACCATTTCAGAAAACATGGTCTGCCTAGAACTCGCTTTCAAAAAATCTTAGAACACAAAACTTGAATTAAAGAACACACGATTTCAGAAAATCCTAAAACAAAAAACACACGATTTCAAAAAAACTGAAAGTGCAAAAGACACGATTTCAGAAACACATGATATCAGAAAACCCTAGAAATTGATTTGAGAAACTCAAAAATCGCGTTTTCATTTTCGATTTCAGGTAATTTCAAGATGCCACCACAAAACATCGACCTTGTCCTCCTACTCACGTGTCTCCTGCTCTTGCTTCAATTTCGCTTAAGTTTCAAGATGGTAGGTTAATGTTTGTTTCAAACACATGTTTCTTCACTCTTTTCATCATCATCACCAACAATCGCCCATCTCTTCAACTCCATGAATAGTTGTGGATTGAAAGTAAAGAAGTAGATGATTAAATGTCCTAATGTGCGCTTACGTGCCATTAAAACCGATTATAGTGGGTAAAAGGACCAAACTAACAGGTTACATATGAGTTTAAACCGTTACAAAACCAAAAAAATAAGCTAAAGGACTATTTAAACCCAGACATGAAAGTTCATAGGGCCGTAGTGACATTAACCCCAAAAAATACCGCTTCCGAAGTTGCATGTTACATTTCGAGCTAGATAGAGGCAACAAATCCACCCACGTATACAAATCTCTCGCTCCAACAAAATTAGAAGTTATAATATCCCACGATCAGCCAATACGGGTTTGTAACTGTTACTAAGACATCGCCTGGCTAATAAGAAACGAGTGGTCATCATTTTCATCTAACACTTTCATCAAGCTTCGAACCATAAGGGGCGCATAATCGATTCCATATTGACTCCGCTAGACACCAAGTTCATTAGATTGGCACTTGTTTCAAAAATATCATCTATGCTAAAAAGTTCAAGCTCGTGATCTATCTTGTTCTTCTCAGTCTTTGATAGATAATTAAGTGCTATTTTGCCAACTAAAAGAAAGGGTTGATACAAAAAATAATTATGTATGCTATAGTATAGACTGTATAGTATTAAACCAATGCATTTGACCCGGCTGTCAAATGGATTAACAAGAAATGGCCTTTTAAGATAGAATAATATTTATAGATAATAACTATTCCATTAAGATACTAATGCAATTACAATCATTAAAAAAAAAAAGATTATTAATCGAACGAAATGATGAAACATGATATATAACATATTTCCACCGGAATTCAAAATATACATTAAAAAAGCACTCAACAAACATTATCCTCATGTATGTGAACGTGTATGTGGCCAAAGCTTAGATACATACATGATTAGTTAGAATGGTCACTTTTAGAGGATTCAGAATAAGCCTTCTTCTTGCCCTTCTTTCCATACTTCCGTGGACCAAACTCCCCCTTATGTTGTTCGTAATGGTCATCAACATTCAAATGGATACCGGGATCATTGGTAGAGTAACTACCACCGACCATGATAGAATTGTTGACACCTTGGAAGTTGCCATTAAGGCAGGTTGTCAATGGAGGAAGAGACTCTTCATTATCTTGTTTCATACCTAATTTTTGGTTCTCCATACTCATTAAGTCGAGCTCACCTCTCATAGTGGCTCCCTCGTTGCTTCCAGCCATAGTTATGATCCCAAAACCACCATTCGCATCCTTCTCCTCTTGGTCATGATCATGAACATTGCTTGCACTTCCTCCCTCACTCGGTTTCTTATGGAGATGGGCAAGGCGACGAGTGAGTGCATTTATCATGTCTCGAATCTCACGATCGAGATTTTGCTTTTGTTGTTTTTCGCCTAACTCAGGAGTGGGCATGATGGATTTTTTAACTAGGTAGATTGTTTAAGAAATAAAAACACAAATTATGTTACCTTGAATGTAGGTTGTGATTTAAATAGAGGTTACACACAAACACAATTCGAATCGGAATTATGCAAAGGTGGGAAATTCCTTCCTTTAGTAGCAATTCGAGCATAATGTTGTCTTTAAATTAACCTTTAATTCTTTGTCAAAAAAGAAGTTAAGGAAGGGATTGCTTGAGCTAAGGTTCAATGTCTTGTTCTACCCACATAGTAATTGCATTTCTTCTAGTATCTTTTTTTATCGTGGCTGTAGATTTTTCTAGCATATATATCAACTTTAAATTATAAATAAGTTTGTGAATATATTCACACTAAAGTATATGACGTTTTATACATATGTTTATTTTAATGATGTGCTTACACTTTTCCGCTCACAACTCATGAATTATAAAATGACAAATTACTTTTTTGTTTTTTTAAACTGTTTTTAGATAAATAAATGACAATTATTGAAAATGTAACAACCTTAACCATAAGACATAAATTATGCATTATACATTAGTATAAGTTTAATCACTTTATGGCTTTGGATTATGGGAATAAGGAAAGGTGTGCATGTGTATATCGATGATTGGGTGTGGGGTGTCACCGACAAAACATTGCCAATGCCAGCTGCCCACGCTTTCTAAATAGATTAATTTATAAATGGATTCTTAATTATTATAGTACACTTACTTTTTGGTGCTACAATAACCGCGTTCAATTCAATAGACTACATAAGGAAAACATTTCTTATCTTAATTCTTATATTAAGAAAAAGCTTTTGTTTATGTTTCTGCTGATTGCAAGAGCTTATGAAAATTAACGAAAAAGGAAGACGACGAACGAAACAAAAGATGCCCTTCGATCGACTGTTCTTGCTTAATTCCATATCCGCCTTTTTCTATTTTCTCGCTTGCTAATTGGCTGTTGGCTTACGTAACCTTGAAACTTTTCACTTTCTTCAAAAAAACATGTATCTTGTAGCAAATCTAAAGTATATCGGCGTTGGGAAAGAAAAATATCATCAGTAGACCTTGCAACTTCAAGTCCCAGAAAATGATTAACACATCCCTTTGGATTGTTTAAACCCAACAGAAATCAAAAAAATTTAAAACTTAGCATACCACTGTCTAGAAGCTTGCTGAAGTCCATATAAAGATTTTTTTAACTTACAAACCAAATTTTTATTATTGTTCTTGTCATTAGAAACTTTACACCCTTGAGGTAGCTGCATGTAACATTTAAAAAACGCGTTATTGACATCCATTTGCATTAAAGGCCATCTCTTTTGAAAAGCAATTTGACTGTAACTAATTTGGCAACGGGGGAGTTAAGTGTCCAGAAAATCAACCATTTCTTGTTGATTGGACCCCTTAGCCACGAGACATGCTTTATATCTTTCAGGTGACCTATCGGCATTTCTTTTGATCTTGTAGAGCCATCGTAACGCTAGGTCATGGTACATGTTGATTATGTGCATGGTTTAAATCTATTTTGAGTTTGGGGGGATTTTGTTTCCAACAAGAAACAAGAACATGAGTTGTTTCCAAACTTATTCAGGGAAGACACATTTACATTTTATTAAA